GCGTCGGCGAGAGTGCGGGCGATGTCATCTACGGCCGGGTTCGCCGATGGCCGCCCCGCTTGTTGCTGGTGGCGTGCCTCGTGCTCGCTTCCGGTCCGGACGTTCTCTGTCCTCTGCTCCTCCTCGTCTTGTTGCCGCCTTATGTCGGCCAGTCGTTGTTGTACCCTCATCTCCACCAACTCGTTGATGCGGGCGTCCTCGTCTTCTGCGTGACGGGCGCCTCGTTCTTGGTCGGCGCTGGACATCGGTGACAGCTGCTGATCGCCGCAAAGCGATACTCCAGACTAAGCTCGACGCGAATCTCGTAGACGACGTGTCATAGTTGGCGAACACGCTAGCGTGTGCTGATGTCCCGTTTCGCGAGTTGGTAGGATCTCTGATGTGGTTGGCCACTCAAACCAGGCCGGACATCGCGAATGCAGTACGAGCAGTAGCGCGGTATTGCGCGTCTCCCAAGATGGTGCACTGGAAGGCAGCACTTGGTATTTTAGGGTACGTGCGTAGGACGAGTTGGATGGGGATTACATTTGAGAGGGGAGTGGTCACTGGCATGAGCATGCAGGTGTTTGTGGATGCCGACTATGCGAATTATCGATCAGGGGCAACACATCAAAGTTCGTGTGGCTGCCACAAGCAAGAACTCACATCCAATAAAATATTGGTCGAACGTGGAGAGGATACAAATTGAAGCACTGGGGCGACCGCAGTGTGGTCATCTGTTACCACTCGTATTCTAGTATGCAATAGAAGTCACGTCACAGAGTTTCTTATGAGAAAAACCTCAGCAATGATCAGTCTACGCGCTTGGCAAAACCACCTTTCGACACTCGGCACACATGGGCTACTACTGTGCAGTATTGTTGCTTTGTCTAGCCTGCGCAAGGCATTGGACACAAAGTCACTTCAGCGTAGCACGTTTCGTAGAACCGCACGCGCCTGTCATCCCGCAAAACCCATAATCTTCCATGTGTTTTCCGCTCGAGCCAAGCCCGCTGAAGCCTTGGACGAGAACCTTCAAAAACAGGTGAGTTATGTGGGCAGGACGAAGAGCAAACGGGGTGAATAACGGCGGGCAGTAAGCAACCCCACCCTCATGAACACGGCTACCAAGTGCATATCACAATTTTCTCGTTCTTTGCCACGGCATCGGGGACATGAACTTGAGGGGTGTTTCAGTTTCAGTGGTCGGCATCGTGGTGTGACTACATGAATCCTCTGCAGCGGCATATAGATGATGGAGGGGACGTCACCGTCCCACAGTCAAATAGACAACATGTCGAACAATCTGGAGACTTGGGCGACTGCCACCCTGGTTTTGCTTAGTCTTTATTCACGGTAGATGGGGGATGTAAGTCGGAAGCGTGTCGATCACCACGACGGTACGCCCGGGTTCCGAGATCAATAGGTTCGATGTTGCGTTTTCTCCAACGTCAATGAGTGGCCACATATGCATAGCACTTGGAAGAGAAAGAGCGGCAGCCTGGATATTCTACAGCGAGGTCGATTCATCATAACAGACAGATGCGTCCACTTGCCTCAAAACATGCCTCAGCAGCTCAACTGCCGCTGGTGCCGTAGCTTTGAATTCGGGCCACCACGAGAAACGCTCCGTTTTCAGAACATCGTGCAAAACAGCTACAGCAACAGCAACAACAGCATCACCACAACAGACAGCAGCAACCTCCACCGGCAAGAAAAAACATGGATAAGTAGCGCTATGCTCGCACAAACGAAACCCATGACTTTACCAAGCCGAAAGAGCCCCCACTTACCTCAACAGGGGCGCCAGGAGCAGACGACGGGGTTAGACTAAGTACGTCTCATGAGAAGAGCTTACATCAACCGAGGCCTAGCTCTGGAGGTTCTGCCTGTGCCCTCTGCAGCAGCGTGAGCGACGGAGGGATTGTTGCCAGGCCACAAGCAAGCGATCGCACGAATTGCTTCCACTTGCAACAGCAAGCGGCGGATGGCCTCCACGCTGCGCAGCTGTTCGTCGTTAATATCTTCTTTTCCCTCGACCTTTTTCCGAAGGATCCTGCGCATTGCGATCTCCATGGGCGTGTAGACTAGGCCATGAGCCCAAATCCCTGCACATCCGCCATCGTGACAGTCGATGTGGTGTCCGCACCGTCATCAAGCAATCGAGCAAGTCTGGACGAGCACGGGCGGCAAGCCTGAATACTCCACAGCAAGGGCGTTGCGCCGAAAAGGCCGGGTGCGTTAACGTAGGCGTTTCTCTCGGCAGCTGTATGCTTCTGACGCTGCAGAAGGTGCTTGACGGATACGACGCCGCCAGTCGGCGGCAGCGATCAGTGCTCCTCCTGTGTCAACCACTCCAGCATCCGTCAGCAAGTCAACATGCTTGTCTCGGGCGGCCGTGACAAGAGCATTTACACCTCTACTTGGACCGCCACAGCCTTCGATGCCAACGTGCCGGATCAACTCGCGGACTGCGTCCGAGTCCCCGCGGATGGCCGAAGTGTCCGACGGGACGACGAGGTTCCCCGACGTGTTGTGCTGCAATTGCGGGTCCGCTTTCGCTCGAAGGAGCACCGGGATGGCGTCCTTGTATCCCTGAGTGGATGCAATCAACATCAGTGTTGCTCCATCCAACATACGGCTGTTGACGTTCGCTCCTGCCTCGATCAGAGCTAGCATCGCCTTCCATTGCGCTCGTTGCGCTGCCAAGTGAAGCGGTGTACAGCAGTGCCGTTTGTTGACCGCTTCGAGGGATGCGCCTGCCGACGCAAGGAGCCTGGTCACGGTCGGGTGTCCGTGGTGCGAAGATATGTAGAGCGATGAAGCCGCCATTGTCCTTGATTGATACGTGGGCTCCGTATTTTAGGAGGATCTTGACAACGCTGGAGCTACCCTTCTCGGCGGCACACATGACAGGGCTCATGCCATCCAGATCACAGTGGTTCACATCACCAGCTCCGCTTGAAAGAAGAGCTGTTACGAGCTCGGAGGCGCCACGACGGCAAGTGTTCTGCAGTGCATACTCGGGGCTTCGAGATGTCTGCTCTGGGTGGAGTGTTGGGGACATACTATTTGCTGCTATTGAGCTGTGGCGGTGTGGCACGCTGCATGTCGCCTGTCGCATGGTCGCCCGGTTTTCAAAAACGATTTGGGGGTGCCGTGATTCTTTCTCTAGCGCAAACGGGGTGGGTGTCGTGGAGAACCAGTACACGTACCGGTTCGGGATGGGAGAGGACTGCTGCCGTTGTTCACCCGCAAACGCATGAATCTGGAAGTGTCTGAGTGTTGAGTGTGGTCAGGTGTCGTGCGGGCTTGTGATTGACCAGTCTTTCGATCCTATCCGCGTTTTTGAATGACTCGGAAGCGGGAGGAATATACTGCACGCACATCGGCGCACGCACATATGATTAGCTCGCGTACTCGACCAAGATAAAGACCAGAAAATGGGATGGGGCGTGTGCTCCGACAATGGAGCAGACGAGTGTCTCCCCACTCTTCGGACGCATTCCCTCGACGGCGTAGTGGTCCCCGACTCTGTCCTGAAGGAGTGGAGGAGACGCAAGGGGCTTGGAGCGCCGGCACAGCAAGAAGTACAGCAGTTGGCAGTAGCGAAGGGGGGAGGCGCAGAGGTGGCGATAGGCGGACGTTTTGGCTCTCCTGCTTCTCCACGACCTGGTGCGAGGTTGAGCCGCTACCTTCGGCGAATCAAGAAGATGGCGCCTTTAGATGAGCGGGGCATGTGGCTTCTAAACAACCTCCTTTCGCAGGTAGAGATTGAAGGTGTATCCTCGGAAGAGCCGCATTCTACTTGAGGTAGTGTAAGCATGAATACTTGAAGGTATTAGACTATTCATTCGCTGATGTACTTTGGAGGTCATCGTGGGCATGAGAGACTCCTCTTTGTTCTAATAACATAGCGAGACTATGCATATTCATTCGCACACCTCGAATTTTGAAAATTATTTCTTTATAACAGGAACATAACTAGATCAACTTCTCGCGATAAAATTCGAAGGCAACACCGCATGAGGGGTGTGTAGGGGGCCCCAGGGAGAGGACCCTGTTGATCACTCCTAGAGCCGGAGTGTTTGCCGGATATGCGTATTTTTGTCCAGTGACTAGAATATCTCGTTGATGGCTTGTATTAGATCCGAAGGACAAAACGCACGACAGACAGGGGAGAAAGAGAGTGCCCCACACAGGCTGACGCAGCGTGGGGGTGCCGCAGAATCATCCAAGTCTACCACAACAGGTACCACAGTACGTCCCTTCATCTACGGAACACAGAACCGTCCTCATCTTTCCTACAACACACACACACACACCACCCGGGTTCCTTGCGCTAGTAATCAACCACGACCGTGTGTTGCTCGACGTACTCGGACACTACCGAAAAATCAAACAGAAAAATGGCGTTGCAAGGGAAAAGCCGGCCTCCGACCCAAAAACCCCCGCAATAATTCCACGACTACCAAAATAAAACATCATCGTTATCATCTCAACAACTTCAATCCCCTTCAAACTAAGGCCAAATACAGCGCTAGCGTTGGAGTCTTAACTACTCCAATTCCTGAACATGGCGACATACCAAGCGCACCAAACTACATCGATCGATGGTTCGGATGATCATCTCAACATTTTCAGGGGAAGACAGACATAAAAATGCCAACGCTGGCCGAAACACAGTAACAACAGGCATGCTCATCATTCAACTTTTGCGTGTCAGGGGGCCCGGCAATGTGGTTTACGAGCATTGGAACGGCCTCTTACGCAACAAAGAGAACATGAGAAAAACCAATACCTACAACGTCATTGCGCATGAAATGCCAAAGTGCTCACGCGTGGCATCTAGCCTCTGAGTTTCGCTGTTGCGAATGCCCTACTCGACCGATTCAAACAGCAAGGAATAAGCACTGATACGATCCAAACGCGGTAGCGACTGTTGAGGGGAGGTCGTCAGAGCACGTTCGCTCACATCGGGTTAACGCCACAATGGATGCCCTCCCATGTTGCGCGACTACACACAACAAAGCTCAAACTGCTACCTGTATTGTCTTCTCCGGGTACCAACCGGAATTGTCGGTCTCATCGGGGGGCTTGACTCCACTGCCAGGCGGACTCCGGCTCCTCCTACCCACCGGCAACAATCCCTGCTGCTGCTTGCCACCCTGTTAAGCGCGCCGACCGCAACGACAAATGCCCACGCTACCCCCCCCTACATCTGGAAGCGCGTTGGCGGAGATCTGTGATAACCGTGCAGCTCCCCCCTTCATCTGGACGCGCGGAGGTGAAGAAATGTTGCCCTCCCCTACATCTGAATCCCGGCTTTGTAGGGATGCGAGGTCAATGGTCTAACGACTACGGCATGCACGACTACGAGTACCCCCTCCCCCCCCTACATCTGGAGAGCGTGGGCCCGCGTCGCCCCCCCTACATCTGGAGGCGCACCGGTGAAGAACTGTTGCCCTCCCCTACATCTGGAGGGCGTTGACCCGCGCCGCCCCCCCTACATCTGGGGGCGCGCTGGAAGAACTGCTGCCCTCCCCTACATCTGGAGAGCGGTTGACCCGTGCTTCCCTCTCTACCTATGGAGGTGCACTGGTAAGGAACTACTGCCCCCCACTTCTGGGGTGCGTCGGCTGGCGCTGCCCCCCCTTATGTCTGGAGGCGCGCTGTTGTGCAAGCACTGCTGTACGTCCCTCCCCTACATCTGGAAGGCGTATACTGATGCCCTCCCCCCTTTTTTCTGGAGAGAAGACCTGTGAGATATTTGCGCTACCCATCCTACATCTGGGGGTGCGTGTTAGTACCCTCCCCTACATCTGGAGAGCACACCTGCTAAGCGTCGCCCCCCCTAAATCTGGGAGCGTGGAGTGTCGGGGCCGGGTATGGTGGGTATCTTCCAAGGCCTCACGCTCATCTAGCTTATCCTCCGAGAATAAGACCGCCATAAACGCTTGGGTATATCATCGAATGAAGTCGAATCACAGTTGTTTCCCAACAAAACACTCCCACTCAAGAATGGAAACGCCCGAACCGCGAATCCCCTTCCCAAAACATCATTGGCTGTATCATCGTACGCGAAATTACAGACACTCTCCCAGCACCAAATCAGAAATAGAAACGCCTGAACTGCAAATCCCCTCAGAAACTCTTGGTATCATTCGTCACAAGCAAGATCACTCAAGAAATCACTCACGAAATTAATCACAACCGAAGTGTCCGTGGCAACGCCGCGCTGTTGTTAGCCCTCTTCCAAAAGCAAAGCAGTATTGCGCGGTTTTGCTCCTCTGCGACAAGTCGGCATTCACCAGAATCGCCATGAATGCAATACTCCAGCTCTCTCGGAGCGAGTACTTTTTCCGCGATCAACAGGCTCGTGTGTTGTACCGCCCGCTTCTCCACCGCTGAAGCCGCCGCTGTCCCGAGTGCTAGGGCCCACAGTCTCGGCTAGGTTCCCTGCGGCGGAACCCCTCCCGGTTCCCCCTGGGATTCCAACCGCACCCTCCACGGCACCCCCGTCCACTACGGCGCCGTGTGACACTCCTCCTTCTCCGTCTCGCGTGGGCTGCTGGAGCAAATTCCCTGAAATCTACCGAGGGGCTGCTCCGTCCTCTCCTCGGCCCTGGTCTGCTTGTCCTCAAAGCGTTCTGTCAACGCCCGCTTAACATCTCGGAGTTTAGCGGCGAGCTCCTGCTGCGAGACTCCTCCCGACATGTTGCTAGCACGGGCTCTTTCGTTTCCTTGCAAGGACGATGGAGAAAGAAAACTCTAGAGTGTTGATCACTCCTAGAGCCGGTGTTTGCCGGGTATGCCCGTGTTTGTGTCCAGTGACTACAAAGTCTCGTTGATGGCTTGTACTAGATACGCAGGACAACACGCACGACAGAGGACGAAGAGAGTGCCCCGCAAACGCTGACGCAGCATGGGGGTACCGCAGAATCATCCAAGGCTACCACAACAGGTACCACAGTAGGTGCCTCATCTATGGAACACAGAACCGTCCTCAGATCCTTCCTACATACACACACACACACGAACAGACCCCACCTGTTGACCAAGGATTGGAGGCCTACCCGGTGGAAATGCCGTGATCGCTTGATAGTATATGAATGTGCTCAGATAGTTGGCCCATGGTCCAGGACAGTGCCGTCAGCGAAGATACCACGCGCACTGTGCCCTGTTACAGGTATTTTTTTTACGTATATCCTGCAACAACGCGGTATTGGAGCTTTTAGGCGAAGTGTGCGAAGACATGTGAAACTGTTTGTTGTACGACGTCGAGAGAAGCCGGAACAAATGCATATCATCACTGCGTGCAAACAGGCTGGGGCCTAGCAGAGAACGACCGTACACTTTGTGACGTTGTCATCCTTAATCTGCGGGCAATAAACCTCAGATATATATTTTTCCGCTGTTCACGTTGTGACGTTGTCATCCTTAATCTGCGGGCAATAAACCTCAGATATATATTTTTCCGCTGTTCACGTTGTACGTACTTGTGGTGGATGGTAGGTGGGGCAACCATGTTTCGAAAGGAATTGACCGGGAAGAATAATTGATACTTCGCTCCAACAGTGGAGGTCGTTGAGCTGCATGAGTCGGTACCGTCGGACACTTGATGCCGGAGCAGAGGTGTGGTCACTAACAGCAGAGAAGCAGCCGCACAGATTTCCCGCGCAGACGGTATGGTTTCCATACAAAAACGTGAGGGTACTTTCTAAAGGACTCTTTTGTGCTGCTTGAAGATGAGTGATGGTGATGCCGTTGTTGTACCACAACACGTGCCCCTTTCATACTTGTCTTGGTTTTCTCATATTTTCTGCGCATCGAAACATGGACATGACTTCCGGATGACAGACAAGAGTGGAGGACCAGGAAGGACTTTGTTGGTCTGTCCAAGACAAGTTGAGCAAGCGAAAAGGGGCCCTCATCCGATCGAAGGATCGTGTCAAGCTGGAGTGCGACCGAAGGTGCGACGCGTGTGGCGATGGACGCGCCTCTCAACCGTTCTCGGAAAAGGAAACACTTGTCTAGAGTCAACAATTACATGGAGTGAGGACACACGCAGGGGACTAAGAGCGGAAACACTCATCCTACGGGGGAACCTACGTTTTGAGAGCAGGGGGGAGATGGGAACATTCGTAGCGAGATGAAAAGAGATGGCGTGAATGCCCGCCGTTTACCTCCCTGGTATCCTTATTGCTGATCCCCCTTGCCGATGTGAGAAATTTCCTCGGTGTTGCTGCTTGTTTCTGTTGTTTCCGGTCTTTTTCCTCTTTGATGATACAATACGTACAAGTTATCCTTCCTTTAGTAGTTGGCATTGCGACCATGGGAAGCGTCGGCGTTGGTTAGATTTGGACGAATTTCATAGGCACTGGGCAAAGACAGGAACGATTGTACGTGAGTCACAGCCGTGAAAACGTTGGCATACAAGAACACCAAGCCTGGAGAGGGGTGTTTGTTGCTGCACGAATGAAGCCCACGCACGTGGTAGTTGAACATGCAAAGTGTTTGACACAATAACCCTTTGGAGCAGAGGCAAGCGGATGTTTCGTATCATGCCTGTCACAGCGTGTGTAGTAGAGTGCAGTGTGTGGTTCCGATACTGATCCTGTGCACTCGCGCGAATCACAATTGAGATTTGCTTCGTGACGAAGATATATCTAGCATTCTCCACGTGCTGCTTCCACTCAAATCCAGTTTCACCCCCCCTCTCACCCCCACCGTCTACCTGCCTCCTCTCCCTCGTCTCTCTCTCTTTCTCGCCCGTCATTCGCGCCTTGCATGGCCCTCCCCTGGACGACCGGGAACAACCCCTCGAAGATGCGTGTTCACGAGAGCCGCGAACGAGGTCCGCACCACCAGCGCAATGACGGCGGAGGCCAACCGGTGCAACATGCTCGCGACCATCGTCAAGGAGCACCAAAATGCCAGACGCTGTAACGACCAAAGTCGCCGGCCCCTTGACAAGACAAACTCCGGTGCAACCACAGCCCCCCTTGCGTCCCCCTCTTTCACCGCGGACCGCCGTAAGGGGAAGGGCGCATTGCGGGGAAAGGAGGCTGCAAAGGAAAAAGAAGTGGCGAGCGGAAAAACTAGTGTGAACGAAAAAGAGGGCTCAAAGGACAGGAGAGTTTCAAAGGCAGAAGGCAGAGGGTCCCCACCCGGACGCCCGTCATCCATCCCTCTGTCAATCCACATGGCGAAGATGCAATCGTCGGGGGAAATAGAAGCAGCCGGCGGCGATGCCACTTTACCTCGCAGAGCCGAAAGAAAACGTCCCAAAAGGACGCGGAACGCACCGCTTGCTGGCCATGGTGGCCTCCTGCAGGTTGCTGCATCCGAGGAGTGTGTCGTCCCACCAGCCTTCTTTAGTCTTAGCGGGCGAGATGTGCCAGCACTTGCCGAGGGTATCCCTGTGACTGCTTGCGGGGTCAGGGGGGGGCGCTACGAGAAGAACAAGCCGACGGGGCGGGTGGCACGCCTCGGGCTGCCTTCGATATCGGAGCGATATGGCGCAAGCGTGATTGAAAATTGGGTTCTGTCCCCCGTCTCGCTGAAGCTCGAGCGGCCACGATGTAAGAGCGTGGCCATCGCACACCTCGATCAGCCGGCGTACAGGGCATACATGGAGGAGATCGTTCGAGTGGGAGCTGCTCAGACCCGACGGCGGTGGCGGCAATCGACGCTGGATGATACAGATGGTGTGGGACAGGGGGTAACAGGCTGCTGGAAAGGGACCACCAACGATTGTAGCAACATTTTGACGAATCAGCAGCAGGGAAAGGCGGCGGTAGGTTGGTCCTCCCACCGTTGTGATGTCGAGCCCCGGGTTTTCAACAGTAAACGACCACCTAACATTGGAGGAGGAGGAAAGGGAATGTTTGGTCGCACGAGCTGTGAAATGGAGAAAGGCCTACCCCACGGCGAAGACGATGAGCGCGGAGAACTCGGCAGAACGCGCCTGAGCACACTGACCAAAACCCCCAGCCGCGCCCCCGGGCATGGCCGTGACAGCAGCACAATAGCCACCGCCGATGAGATTCTCACTTCGGAGGGGCTAGAGCTTCGCTCCAAAGGTGCCCGCAAGGTTTTCAAGCAGACTCAGCGGCTGCTCGAGGCCTTGCGCACGCCAAGTGCAAGCTGCCAGTATGACCCCGAGACCGGGGCTCGCCGAAACTGCGGGGGTGGAAACATTGGAGGACACTCGAGCGTTGTGGTCCACTACCACCAAAGCCACTCGGGGAGCGGGCCTGCGACTGTAAGGGATAGGCTCCATCGCGGAGGTGGCGGTGACCCCGATGGCGACGCGAAAGTCACTGATCCCAAGTTCAGCGATGGTGGAATGTGGCGAGCACCTCGAGGGGACAGGTCGGCGCGTCTTAAGGAGGTGCTTGACTGTGTGGCCCCCCCGCACACCGTGCGCATTGAGTCCGAGATCATCTTGCATGAATCGCTAAGCCGCGCTGGCGACGGGCGTGAAGACAACGAAGGGACAAGCGGCGGTGGCAGCGGCACATGGGACGACTTTGTGTTTGCGTGGGAGGTGAGGAAGCGGAACGAGTTTCACCAGGCGTATGTGTTAGAGTGTACCTGCAGTATACCGGGGTCAGAACACGCGGGGTATTCGCCGCATGCCAATTGCTTCAATCACGCAAACATCGGTAGAGTTCGACTCCATATCTAACCCTACCAGATGTTGTGCCAAGTGGGAAACTGCTTCTTCCGGAAAACAATCAAGACCTTTGCACACGCGCATCTTGAGGGTATTTCAAGTCGTGCAAGCCCCAAAACACAGCCAATATCTTGTTGCACATGTACGGTGCTCATCCTTTGCCGCTCGTCGCTTTCCTCCTCGACGATAGTGTTTGGGAGACGGGATTTTGGCTGGGAGAGCGCTGAGTGGGTACTGGGAATACGCCCACCAGGACGGCAGCGACCATACCCCTACCAACGGGAGGTTGCAACGGGCCGCAGATGATCTTCTGTCCGACGGATTGATGCGTGCGTTGCTTTCTACGAGGTGTTACCGGCCGCCGGGGCGGGACCAGCTTTTCGTGGAGGTGCGACACGGATACCGTCACAACCGTTCCGCGTAGCAATTCCGCATTTTTCGAGTGCGCCAAGCCACGTTGTTAGAAGCACACCTCAAGGGTGCGTTGAAGCATTTCGAGCGCGTTCGGATGTATCCTCACGTTCGAGTCGAAAGGTTTCCTACTTCATGCCTTTGGGGGGGGGCTTCCCTCACATCATCCGGCGTGGACATCGTCAGTTGTTGTCTGTTCGTCCCAGAACTAAGCTTTTTCAATGCAAGTGCTATTGCACCCACCTATGAAAATGTGGCTGCTTTGGCGTCCTTGGGTGGGAACGGACTGTCTACGCCTCAGCAGTATTTGTGCAAGAGGACAGTCGAAACGAAACGACATGTGGCGGTTATCATGTTTGGTGGATTGTATCTATGTAGAACTTTTGCATCGATGCCAGTAAAAGCCGACTCTATGTATTGCCCTTTGTCCCCGTCTTCCTCGTTGACTTCATGCCCTGAAGTGGTTGGATGAGCTCTTGGAAGTCGTCAGAACTCATGTTCGGCGAGCCTGTTCGAGGGTCCCCGTGCAACATGGCTTGACGGCGGGGTTGGAGTGGTTTCAAGAGGTAGGTTGGTTCTTGTTGGTGGTGATGTCTTTGTTGTTTCTGTGCCTTTGCGGTCGCCGCTGTGCCACGCTGGCCATTTTCATCTTTGTTCAGTTTGACGGAGTTGTGGGTGGTAGACTATCAAGAAAATGCAGGTTGAAGAGTCATCCCGCAACGAGGCGGAGACGATAGAGCATCAAAACACCGTGACTTAAACCCTTAACGGTTGAAACAACGCTCTCAGTATGAAAATTGGTCATGTCATTACGACGTGAACACCAATTGCACACTGGCTAAGAGTACGCACGTACACGCATAAAGAGTCTGTCCACGCTGCTGTTTGCTCTGCCTTGAACGTACCGGGGCACGGTCTGTGTTGTTCGTGGTTCGCTCCTGGCCCGGTCTCTTCCCTGTCCTCCTGTGGCTTCCTTTCCTCCGTCGGGGTCATCTCCAGGTGTGCAACGACCAGTCGTTCTTACGACGCAAGTAGGTGACAACAACAGTTTGTTTCGACATTTTTCTCATTGTTGAACACCACTCACGAAAGACCGGCAATCGTTTTGTAATGCATTATCCACCACCCGCACCGGAACATGTGCGTATTCTCTTTGGGGTAGGCTTCGGGGTGTCCGGTGGCACCCGCGTCTCAGCAGCGAGTCGAGCAAGTTGGGCGAGAATGGGAGAAGTGCTTACGGCTGCAGCGGATGGACGTAGAGATAACTAGGATTTTTTGCTTTTCCTCACCGGGAAATGACCTCCGACTGTTACTGAAACCACGAGTTTTCATGTTGTGGAGGTTGCACGAAAACAGGCATCCCGGGGGGGATGCTGTTCTTCTCGTCGCGCCGGAGCCTTGTTGCTATTCCCTACCATGTGATATTACGTGTACACTTTAATATATAAGCTATTCCTCGTTGGTGGAGCCGTACTACCCCCTGAAGACAAACGATTGATCACGGCGTAACGTTGTGGGGCAGTTGCTATTTTGAGTGGGAGTGCCCGGGTATGGTGGCTCATTGCGTAGTTGCCACACTGGGACGCGGTTGACCTCAATTTCGTAGCCCGATATGGCGCGAGTTGAAGAGGGTGGGAGTCACAATGCCGACGTAGGACCCGATCCCCCATTCCAAGATTTTGTCCATACGTGTACAGGGAATGTGAGCGTGAATGTCCAAACGTCCAACGTTACGTCTGCTGAGAGTTAAAACATGCGGTTGTCAAGTGGTTAATGCTATTCAGAAGCATGAGTTTCATCGTCTGATTGAGCAAATACTTTTGCCGGTTTGGTCGGTCCTTTGGCTCCAATTTTTGTTTGTCTTCACTCNTCTCTCTTCTTTGTACCCTGTGTATAGCTATACCCCCGTGTACCACTTATTATCTCGCCGCTCTTCCACGAAATTTCCGGAACGCTTCCACAAACCACGGATTCACGGTTGTACCGGATCCTTCGTTTTTCGAGTTTTTGTGGAAAGATGTTAGAGTTTTAGGCGGAATCGCCCCTGGAAGATCCGGCGTACAAAAACTCGAAAACCCGAACATCTCTTTGGGCTGTTGGACCTTCCTGGCCAATCACATGATTACACCGCTTGTTCGATGTTCGATGTTCGAGTCCAAAAAAACTACGTAGGACCCACCCTCACGGATAGAGAAATAATGTTCTTCGGAAATCAATAACGTTAATGTGACTGCCAGAACTCGTCGCCAGATAAGTAACTCCCAGTGCTGCAGGCTACAACAACGCAACATGAAAGGACATGACCCAAGGAACAAGTGCTGAAAACCGATGTGCACTTGCCAACGTGAACCCGCCAATAATAGACAAAACCCGACTCCCAAGCACACACGCAATGTCGCTCCAAGATCAGAACGTCGTGGGTTGAAGGATGGGGGTGCCGCAAGAGTATGTTGGATCCCAGAGAAGGGGGGTGTGAGCAACGCTACAATGTACGAGATGGGGAGACAGTCATGATAGAGCTTGATGGTCTACCACCTATCTATTCCGGTCACTGCTCGGCCCGTCGTCGTATTATTATATGTAGAAAAATGGTTCGTGGACCGGTTCCATTCTCAGTCGCATTTCGGACCACGGCAATACCTAAACGAGCTGCAATCAACAAATTGATGCACCACTATCTATTATTGGCCTCAGACAAGTCGTTGTTGCAGATCACTAGAGTAGAGGCGGGTATTAAAGGCCACCCGGATATTAATGGCCATTTTTTTTTATACCATACCATACGATACAGTAGGGATACCTCCTCACCGAATTCACGGAGCCCCTTTATCTTTTTTTTAATTGCTCCGCGCAACCGGAGCTCTCGTTTGAGCACCACAGCTTCGCACGCCAAGCATTCTACCCCGAAATACAGCCGAGGGAGCCACCACAGCTCCCGCTGCTAGCCACCTTCGCCGTTTCCTTGGGATTCTTGCTAAGCATGACCCGGCGCAAGGTGGACGAGGAGAAGGTTCGGAAGGCCTTTGCAGCGATAGATAATGGCATGTCGGTCAGGAAGGCTGCTGAGGTCTTTGGGGTAGGTCGTACGTCTATCGAAGACCGCCGCCGTGGCAAGGTGGCCATGAACGCGAAGGTTGGCCCCGAGACCATCCTGAGCAGAGAAGAGGAGGATTCGCTGGAAGATATTCTGCTGGTTGCTGCTCGCAACTTCTTGGCTGTGGATCGGGTTCACCTTAGAGACGCGGTGCGACGACTCTGCAACGACGGTCGGCGGATCCCTTGGGATCCAGAGAAGGGTCCGGGGAAAGATTGGCTTGGGGGCTTCCTTCGTAGGCACCCACGGGTGGCGGAGCGCTCGACCCGCATCTACGAGGCAAACAGGATCACCGAGGACGAGGAGCCTCGCATGGTGCAGTTCTACGAGAGATGGGCAGCTCTCCATGACGAGGTCAAACCGAAGGCCAACCACGTGCACAACACGGACGAGACAGGTGCAGATTCGCTCGTAGACTAGTCTGTAATAGTGCAGACTAGTCTACAGCAGTAGTAGACGTGTGGCAGCAGTAGAAACTGCGCTGGTGACTGCTGTGCAAANTGTTTGTGTGCGTGCGTATACTACTGCTGGTAATTTTGACTATCCATTAGACTAGCCTAACGCCCCTCCCCCCCCCCCGACCCTCACATACGCGTGCCCGTTGCAGGTACCACCCCGCAAGGAACCAAGACGACGAAGGCGTTTGCGGAATCAGGTCAGAAGGTGGTTGGTTCGATGCGCTCCAACTCGCGAGAGAACATCACCGTGGTCGCTACCATCAGCGCTGATGGTCACACCTGGGCACCAACCATTACCTTCAAAAGGCAACGACTTCAGGTCGATTGGTTTGTAGAGCGAAACGGCCCAGAGGGTGCGAGGTACACCTGTACGGATTCTTCGTTCATGCAGGGAGACGTATTCATCGCCTACTTGAAGGATTTCCACAAGCAGCTCGGCGACCGAGGGTTGCTCGACGGAAAACCCCACATACTCTTGCACGATGGACATGCATCACACGTGAGCGTGGAGGTAATCAGGCTGGCCATGAATCTCAAAATCGTCTTGTTCCAGCTACCCTCCCACACGTCGCACATCACCCAGCCCTTGGATGTCGTCGCCTTCGGACGCTTTAAGAAATCGGTGCCCAGCGTTTTGGCGTCCTTCTACCACATCTCCGGCGGGTTGTAGCCGCTGAAACGCGACATGCCCGGCGTGATCGCGGATGCTTGGAAATTGAGCTTGACACCGGAGATAAATAAATTATCATTCGCTGGGGCGGGCTTGTGGCCTGTGAACAAGGAGCGGGCGCTGGGCCGGCTGAAGGGCACAGCGAAGAAGAAAGAGCGGCGAGACGAGCGCCCACCCCTACAGGATGTCCCCATCGCCGCCCTCAACGAGCAGCTGGAAAACGACATCGGAGAAAGGGCCCTCAGGGTGCTGAGGGCGCAAGGGCACACCGTAATCCGAGTAGGCACGGTGATACTCGGTGGCCTCTTGACTCCAAGGAAGCGCGCGAAGAAGAAGAGCAGCCTGATGCTGCGTGCGAACCTAGTGGTGGAATGCTCATGTCTGTCGCTGCAACCGGACCCGTCCGCAGACGTAAAGGAATACTACTTGATATTTATTGGTACCTTTTGGTCGGGAACTCTTGTCAAAAGCACTTCATTTTGCACGCTCACTGTGGGGCGAAGAGATGTTAATTCACGAGACTGACTGGTGGAATGCGGAGGCGCGATCATTCGTTTAATCGGCGTGAAGCAGGTACACAGCTTCGTACCACAAAGCGAACCGGCCAGAGCGTGCGACAATAGCTTGGAAAACGAGTTGGTCGCACAAACCTGGCGTTGTGACTTCCAATCGAAGCCAGGAAGACCTCAATCATGCTCGCATCCAACACCAGTTGTTGACGCAGACTCCTACAAATATGCATTTCCCCACAGCTGCGGCCATCGCAGGCAACTCCAAGTCGTCGTTCAAGTACTCTGACTTGGCCGTTCATCAATCGCGTGGATCGTGCGCTTGTGTGTGGTAGGGGCAGGTGCATGACGTGGATTGGCGGAAAAATTCGCCGAGAAACTTTTCTTCGCACTTTTGTCCTGAGAAACGTTTGCAAACGTTTCTCCGGATCGCGCGATTATTGTCAAATTAGGAGTTTCCAAACTTTTGGCACAACTTTTCGCTCATTAAGTAAGGAGCGTGCATGACAAAAGTTGCGAGGAAACTTTGGAAACTTAAACTTTTCTCGCAACTTTACTCCCACAAGAAGCGGTGCAAACGAACTCTAGCGATGCCAATCTCTCACACGCTATTTGAGTCCTGAACGAAGCTGGTCCACACGGAAACGAAACAAGGCATTAAGCAACGGCTGTTGGTGGTTCGTGCGCAGGACTACCGATTCTGGTAAAAGTTAAATGGACGGATACCCTGCGAATCGGGTCCTCCTTAACATTCTCCACCCACATAATTTACCCTCAACTGGGAACCTCTTGTGGCCTGGACGGGTATTTGGATGGAAATGTCAGAGATTCTTTGTAGGATCGACTCCAAGAGGTGCTCTCAGGACTGGCACACATCAATTTGTGTAGAATACATGGGAAAAATGTCCAAATCTGGGGAAAGTGTGCACCAAAAGGATATTCGTGTCCTAGACGATGCCATATGCGAAGGTGCACCGATGCTGGTAATAGTCAATCAACTGATACACTGCGAATCGGGTCGTCCTTGACATTCGACTGTTGGTGCTTCAAGCAAGGAGCAATAATCCTGCACCGTTGCGACGTAGTTGTCCGTGGCACGAAGCACAAAGAAACAGACGCCTTTATCACCGTGCAGCCGCCTTTATCACCAGTCGGGTCCATCCTTTCCCCGTCCGCTGCCAATAACCGGCCGACCCACCCCATCCAAACCCCGACAAGCCCCCTTCCTCGCCCCCACCCGCGGCCCCATCCCGGCACTCTCCTCGTAAAACCCCTAGACTTCAACGTCCGACACGGTCGCCTCTGGTGCCCAACCGGCATTTGCTTCTCTGCCTCCCAGCATCAAGACAACCCACTATTGGCCTCAACCAGCAATAAAGTACGATATTCTAGTTGTTGGTCTCCTTGAGAAGGCAAGGTTCAAGCCGCTAAACCAACAACAAACGTGATGCGATGTAGACCACGACAACAAGGTATTTTAGCACAAGGAAACCACCAGCCACTACCAACCGGGACCACCCCTTCCTCCCCCACCGCTCACAGCTGGCATCGCCATCCGCCCAAATGCACACACGCTCCAATCCCGCTACTCTCTCCGCAGCCACCCATTCCGCCAACGTCAGATATGGTTTCCTCTGGTGCCCGGACGTTATCCCCTTCTCTACCCTTCATAATCATTCCCACCACTCACATGCCCTCAATCACTTACTATGCCATAGTGGGGTTGAGCTTATGCTTGACAACTCAACGGCACTCAGTAGTGCAAGCCACAACGATGTTGCCAAGCCACACTGTCACAACCACGTCGATTTGCTAAAGGCAAACAACTACGACCATTCTGGACTACCCCTTCACGCCCACCCAACCCTTTCTCGTCCTCATCCCGCCACCTTCCCCCAAAAACTCCATTCGGCCAATGCCAGACACAGTCGGCTCTGGTGACCGCCCAGCCAGCGTCTCCCCCTCTACCTCTCATAATCATTTCCGATCCTGACTTGGCCCCTGCGACGCATCGTCGTATCATGCTGTGGTTGTGCCTGTCCTGGACAACTCAAGTTGTGAGAGGCCAAACCACAACAACTTTGTAAGTCGCACCGCAACAACAACACCAATTTTCTACAGGAAACCAACTACCACCGGTTGGGAACACCGCTTCCTCGTCCACTCCCAAAGATTACGTAGCCACACTCGAAACCCGACGCGGCCCAATCCCGCCACCGTGCTCGTGACCGACATCCCGCCATTGTCCTCTGTTGCCCATCCGGCATCTCCTTCCATGCCTTTCAGCATCGTTCCAACCCTTCCTTGGCCTCAGGCACCTACTGTACCATGGATTGGTTGCGCCTATCCTTGAGCAATATCCACCCATCCATCCAACTGGTGACATTTGTTTCTTCTCAAAATGATAAAGCATCTTTCATCCCTTAGGTGCCTAATTTCGCCCGGGTGCAAACCCCCCTCAAATATCCCGCACCCGATGGGTAGTATTGGTACTGTTCTGGCCCGTGCAGACATAACGTCTTCCGCACAGGAAATTGTTGATGATCTCCCGGAATACGATTAATCCTGGTCTCCTTCCACAACGTATTCTAAGGTGGCGCGCAAGGGACACTGAGGTGTCCCGGTTTCCACTCGATCAGACAATCCCAGCAGTATCCGTGTCTGCATCTACATTTGATGTGCTTGCAGCCGCCGATCTTCTCCGTCGCCACCCCGCAATTCGGACACCTCTTGGTACTTTTGGCTACGGTTGCCACCGACGCACGATCTTCGGCCGTTCGTGCCGCACGTTCACGTTCACGCCTGGCTTCTGGTCCGATATTAGGCACAACCTCCAGCTGAGCAGCATCGATGTGGCTCCGTAGATCGCTGTCGAGACAAAGCTGAACACTCAGGCCGACCATGTGGGCGTCACATTCCGGATCCACACACCTAATCCTGTCCCACCACACGATACCCCACGGTAGGAGGGTCTCTCCAACATACTGGGTGGTACACTTTGCGCAAAGGGCGTGACCGAAAGCACACCAGCTCCCAGTCTTGGAGTTGGTTACGATGTTTTCGCACAACTCGTCAAAAAACACGCATTTAGCACTCGACATGGTAACGAAGTTTCCAGTAGGCCAAGTGCTGCCGATAGAGCCGGTTCGTGGGAGGTCTCTGTTAAGCCTGCCGCTGAACTCAGCTCCAGCTTTCGACGCGGACTTAAACGCCCCGGGAGTTAGATGGGCACAGGAGGAAGCCCGCACCAAGGGTGTTGCCGGCTTTGCTCCTTCCCTGGAACCGTTTGTGCCGCCAATGGACGATGGAGCACCCTTGGCGCCGGGCTCAACGGCGGTGACTGGAGAACCGCCGTCGAAGTCCATCTGGGCAGGTGACCAACCGTTCGGCTGGCTGATCCCCAAGTGCCCGTAATCGTTGAGGATCCCGTCGATCAGCTCGCGCTCGTTGTTCCTGGTTCGGAAACAAGAACTCTATGAAGTGACCATAGTGAAGAACGAAATATTTGTTTCTGGGTGTGCAATGTTGGTCGGCGTCATTGAAATCGTCGCCTGTATCATGAGGCATTCAATAGCCACGAAGTATTTGAGGAATCGTCAGTTTGTTGCTTGAGCGGATATTGTCGTCTTCACTTCCTCGTGTTAGATTTCAAGTGGTGCAGGATGACCCTGAAGCATTTTGTTGTCTTTCGTATTGTCGATCTTTGCCTCGATCTCGTCCACATCGGTGCCGACGAAGGGCAAACATATCAACTAACCCGCTGAAATTCAACGCCGCACAATCGATGACGCGGGATCCGGTCCAATAACAACTGTACCACGCATGTAACAGACAAGGTTCGGGATGGCGCCACACTATTCGCCTTTGATCGCCTCCGCACCTTCAATACTCTCAACGAACCCCAAAAAACGTTTCTCAGGTGGATGGACTGTTTCGCCAACGCCTCCTTCGAAATGCCGAAACGACATGCACTGTGCGAGTGAGACTACAAGGCCCACCTGAAGTTATCGAGCATCTCGTCAATCATTTCCTCATTGACCTTGGCGAAAACATTCTGCATCCATGCCCTCAGGACCCCGGGGTCTCCTCGCCCGGTCCCAACCCCGCCTCCGAACTCCGGTGAAGGTACTGCCTCGTTCGAATGAGTTCCGCATTTAGAGGTGGCCGACAAGTGATCCCTCGCTTCCTCGGCCTCCTTCGATGTTCGGCACACAACGCTCTCGTCAGATCAAGGCTCTTCTCATAGAAAGGTACGCCAACACATTTGATACGCCCCCTGTGGTGTGACGAATACACTGCTCTCGTTGACGAGCACAACGCGTAAGCTCTTAAGACGGGGGACATCATCCTCCCTAGCGCACCACCTTGTGCTTGGAACTTCTATTCTTCCACTGCGTGCGGCGGCTGTTCCGTTGGCACAGGATTAACATCCGTCGGGAACAATTCTGTGTGATATGTGACCTACAGTACATAGATGACAACGATATGAATTTTGGAAACTTGGTTTCGTGAGTGTTCTACTACTGCTCGCTGTGATGGCCAGTCGGAGACGCCCTTTCGCCTCATTTCGCAACCGGGCTGGATGCCGAGGGAAGTGCACGCCTACAGCGTCGATCTCGTACAGAAACTTCAAACTTCGTCACAGGTAGGATAGACAACGAACCTCGTCCATTGTACCAAAAAGTTCGGCGAGGCCAAACCAGCCCGTGTCGGAAGGCGGAGACATCTTGCCGGAGGAAACAGGGAAAGAAGACGAAGCGCCCACCCCGAAACGCAGTAGGTTGTACCGGTCGTACGCGCCGCGAAGGACACCGAGGGATATAGCGAAGAGGAAAAAAGTTGAACTTCTGTTAATATTTGAGCATTGTGTAGCGAATCTCGCAGTCAAATTACCGAAAAACGAGGCAAATGGCAACGAACTACATGCATGTCCTGTACAGCACCGACCCGGAGACAAGAAACGTCGAAACTGGGTAGAGCCTCAATTCCTTATTCTTGGTCGATGGACCAGCCGAATACGGGTTGCTTGTTGTTGGAGCTGTCGCGTCCTGTTGATTCTAATTTTTCATACAATGTCATTTCTTGATTTCTTCTCGGTAACAATGAAAGCACAATGCTCATGTTGATCGCGAAGGGAGCACAAGGTGTACTTCTTTCACACAAGAATCACCATTTATTCACACAAGATGATGACGACTTCTGCCTTCTAATCGATAAGTAGGGCGCAACTCGCCCTCCTCACGGCCCTAGACAATCACCTGACGAGCGAATCTCGTTTGGTAATTGATGAACCAAATCCAGTGAACATCAGGCGTGCTTTGTGTACCGGCTTGCAGTGCAAGAGGTGTATCTTGCGACCACACCCGCCATTCATTCCTCCACAATGAACTTGTACGTAGCACACAATTCGGACACTTATTAGAGGCGAAGATCGTCGATGGTTTGGTGAACAATCAGTTCACCTCTTCTTCGATGCCGTTCATTATTGGAAGAAGTGTTACTGCCTTCCTGCTCCTTCACACCTCTTGGCGGCGTACACCACCGCGGCCTTCCTGGCCCTTCCTAGCGATTCGACGTGACCATGAAGAAGGGCAGGCGTAATATTACGGTTTTCGGTCAGGCCAATTCATTTCCGCCAGATGTTATGTTCGCCGACCGAGCGATACATGGACTGATGGTGCGCAGAGGTGCCGCGAAATGTGGGTGTACATGTAGGAGATGGGACGTTTGCTAGAGCAAAATGTTACAGGCGCTCAGGCATTCAGCAAAAAATCATTTTGTCTTGCGTATGTATTGTTCAGCAAGGAATGCTGTTATAGCGGCATTCTCCTGCTACGGCATGAACATGGTTCGACGGACGACAACACCATTCATACGAGCATGCAGCTGTGAGACATTGACTTGTGTGGGGTCGAGGACACAGTATACATGCATTTTAGGGTGCAAATATTTGTTCTCTGGGTCACCTCTACCCTTCATTCCGGAGATTTTTCTGATAATCAATTCAGGGCTAGCCCGACAATCAACTACTACATGTTTGGACGCAAATATTTGTTCTTTGGGCTCTACCCTTCTTTCTGGAGATTTTCCCGACAGTCAATCGATGGCTAACCCGACAACCAATAACTGGCTAGCAACAGCCCTCCATATCCCAGAGGGAGCAGGGGGCTTGAGCGCCGCAACTTTGGCCCAATGTGTTTCTCGCTGTAGTATCTGATAGGTTTGCTACACGCGCGACGTCTGTGATCCAACGAGATAGATTTGCGTCCTCCAGATTACTGAATCTTTTGTCCCGGAAAGCACGAGCGTAAAGCATGGAGGCGCCGTAAGGAGTGAGTCCTACACACAGTGAGGGGAGTGTGCGCCAGGGTCCCCTGGAGAACATGTCGATGCTGAACAAACCGGGGTCTGAAAATTCTAGAGACGACGAGAAAAAGGACGAACCTTCACCTGCATGCACAACTATCATGCCAAACACACGATTTCGGGCGATTTCGATGTGTTGCGGCACCGCGACAGTAATACGCTGAGGGGAATAGAGTCGACGATGAAGTTGAGGCGTTCCCCACCGACAGTTAAAGGGATAAATGGGAAAGATCCATCCCGCGGTCGCGGAACTCGAACTCGCCCTGAAAAGACCGGTCGAAATTCATCCATAGAAAATAGAATCAGGATCACGGTGTGACGGCCAGCTCTCCCCATCGGTTAAGTTGAGCGTTCATCACCTGTTGTTCACTGTGGTCACAGCAGTTAGGGTCCGTGTGCTGTCCGAAACCCGTTGTCGATCGGGCGTGGGTGAAGGGAGAATCTGGCTACCGCGAACGTGTGTCTTGAAGGTACAGTTGGAGGTCGCCAAACCAAGATAGCACCTGTCAGGGGTGAAGTGTGCGTGTGTGCTAGAGCGCACCTTTGCGATATTGAACGAATTTTGGGATGTTTGATGCGTCGGTATATCTATCCAGGATGCCCAATGATTTTTGATCTGTCTAAGACTCTCCTTTCGTTGTATACTTTGGTGTTTGACCAATCACACACGCGAGAAAAGGTCACACGATGTAGACTAGCTTACCACCCGTGTTCCACATTACGGCCGCCACGGTTTAGCTCCTGTATGAAAGGAACGCCGGCCGTATGATGTGGTCCTTCTTGAAATTCATGATTGATCTTTCTGTGCTTCGCTGCTACATTCTATCGCGTGCAATTCACTCTTTCACATCAATAGCACCACCAGGGCTCGTTCGCGGATGATGGGAAGCCGAAGAATCAACTATATTTTGGTTATTTCATGAACTCTTTGCTATGAATCCCGCGTGCTGCATATGCATGTGCACTTCTGTGTGCCAAGTTCTTCAGAAAAGGACGCTCGAATATTTTTCTTCGCACGAAGAAATTCATCCCTCCGTCCCACTGTATGTTCAAGGGGGTTCGATATTTCATTGTGGCAAGCACCGGCATCGCGCAGAGACAAGCTGTACCACATTGCTGTGGACAATAATTGTTTGTCTTCTTTCCGTCTGTCGCCGAGGCGGAAAAACAAGACGAGTATATGTTCATAATGAGGAAGCGATTTCCGCTGTGCACGTCTTCTCGTACTTGTTCCGGAAACGTTCAATGGAAAACCATAGACATCCATTCATGGTTCCATTGGTCTTCCGTGAAAAAACATGGAATTCGATTACTGTTCATGGAGTTCCACGAACTTCCATAGGATTCCATGGAATGAAATGAAAGTTGGAGGGAAGTCAGTAGACGTTCATGACATTTTTCACAAACGTTCATGAACAGTTTCATGGACGTTCATGACATTTTTGTCATGAAACATTCCGTGAGATCTTTTCACTGTATGTCATGAAACTTCTTGACATGCATTAATGAACGCCAATGAACATTCACGGAATGTGTCATAAAACGTGGTCAATGGACATCCATGAAAAGTCTATCGTGGAGTTCCACGGAATCAATCGTGAACGCCCATCACACTTTCACAGACGGTCGGACGGTCCATGGAATGCCATGGAATCGCATGGAATTCCTGACGACTATTTCAATTTCATGAACGTTGATGAACACTCAAGGATGCCCACGAAATGCTCAATTGACGTTGAAGAATGTCGACATTTCTCGAGTTGAAGTGGGCTCTGACAATACCCGGAAGGACAGCATGTAGCGGAAATTGTTTGCCGTCCTAAGGTTTGTCGTCCAATCTGCAATGGTTCTCGGAAAAACCACAAAAAGTTGTGAATCCGAGCAGGGGTTTATGTTACTCTACGCATTGTAACCTCTCCACAGAAAGCCGCGCCTGGGACGGGCGGTCACACGGTAGTTGCACAGATCGCCCCGAGAGAACGGCGCACCTTCCTGAAGGGAAGAGTTTAGAAGCGTTGTTCAGCAAGCGTAAAAAGAAACATTGGCCAAGCAGTTCTTGCCGACCATTCGGGATGGAACAAGGGGGCTGCGATTCATACGTAAGTGCCGTTTGTTGTATCGAACGCAAATATTTTCCATGACCAAGCTGATGCGCCTAGCGCAGAGTAGCCCCCTTTCGATTGTCCGAAACCTCCTTTCCTTCAATGGGACCCAGGTCCGGTTGTTCCAAGACCGACCATGTTCGGTCGGCGTCTATTGTTGCTACTCCTCGACCAGGCCACGATTTTAGACCTCACGTTCATAGGCGTATTGCTCTTCTTGGATGCCGCAGCAGCAACACCAGCTGTGGCAACACAAGGACTGAATCTTGACGGAGAGGATGTCTTCATGCCACCGCCCTTTACACCGCAAGGCGCAGCATCACATGTGGAGTCCAGCACTCGATGAAATCCGTGCCAGCAAGGATGTACCCGTCTCAAACATCACCCATCCGTCGTAAGTGACGCGACATAATCCTCGAAGTATATGTGTCCCGTTTCGGTGTCCTGAGAAGAATTGGAAAGCCGAAGTTTCGCACGATAAGCTAACGAAATCGGAGTGGTCCCTTCAAGTTCAAGTTCAAGTTCAGTGAGAGCAAAGTCTTACGAGAAAAAGCTACCGGTGCACAAATGATGGCGATGTAGTAGCGGTGTGCACCTCAGATTGGCCTGGTTGGATGTCAAACAATGAAGGTCCTTTTGTATCCCTAGAGGATGTTTTGGTGCAATGCCATCTCTGGAGGTATGATCATGTTCAACCATTGTAGCGACTGGATATGCATCGTGAGCCTGACGCGGCACCCGTGATATTTCGATGATTCCATAGACTATACAACAGGGGTGCTCTTGAAAAAATCAAATTTAATGTGAGGCGACCATCCGGAGCTCACTGCAACATTCATGTGCCTGCGTATTAACTTCAAAAAAACTCTAGCCTGCCTCAGTCACGACGTGTTTTGCACCCTCGACGGAAACGCGACTGCCTACCTTGGCAACGCTTAAGAAGCCCTCGATTTCCTTTGCTCGGAATGGCGTTCCCTTCCTAACGAGCAGCTCGTTCATCTTCGCGGTTTCGATGTATCCGCAGCCTTTTTCGTCGATGGCACGAAACGCCTGAGCAACGAAGGCGTGCAAACGACCATGTATCAGGAAGCTGAGTTCGGAAAGCACACGGCTTCGGGAGCATTAATAGTATCTGTGCCGCCTATGAGTAACGGCCACTTGCACACGTTTCAGATATTCCTTCAAGAAAACGCACCAAATTCGATATATCTCCGGCCGCACGAAGATGGAGAAAAAACGGCGTTCCTTCAGCCGACTCGGGTATTCCGCTCACCCAAGACCGCCGGGCTTTGAACGGTATGCAACGTCTTCAGAGGGGAGGTAGGACGCAGTCCAGAAGCTGTTGCCTGCCCATGTTTCTCCTTCGGCACAGACGGGTACCATCGGCGTTCGTGCTGCTCGGCCCGAGTGTGTTTCTTGGAAAGCATTTCCGTGTACAAAACTCTTTAGAAACGTCACGTAACACTGCTCAACTAGATGTGTTCACGTCGGACGATGTCGTCGTCGCCAAACAGTGGCCGCAAATATTGGCCACAAGGTTGGTGCGAACACAACGAACTGGACTTCACGGTTCTCGAGAGCAAGGCACGGCGAAATCCGTGTTATGCTGTAGAAGCATAGGCGAGCACCGCAGGAGGAACGCGAAGAAAATGAAAATTCTGCATGGTCTTCCTCCTGCGAGGTTCCGGCTGCTGATGTGCCCAGAAAATACACCGATTGGTGTGTATTGTGGCATTCAGAGTGAACGAAACGACACGAAAACACGCAGTCTGATTCCTTAAATATTGAACCCAGAGGCTGGACCCTGTCGCTGAACCTCCTCCGCGGCCCCCTACCGGAAGAGCCCCGAAGTCTCGAAAGTGTTTTCGAGTTCTTCATCACCACGTTATTAGACTAGCATCTTTTCAGCGGTCATATTGTTTACATGTAGTGCCGTCAATACTAGTCCATAGGAAGCAAAAAGACAGCCAACCTCGTTGTTTATGTGTCAACTGTTCGGTTTCATTGAACGTTTAGTTTCCACTTACACCAGGAAGCGCAAGGTCTCGTCGATGGCACTCTACTCACCCTCAGCAAGACTTCTGGGGGATCAGGATCCCAAGCTCTGGACGCCAGTATCTCCAGCATTTTCGTCTCGAAAGAAGCATATGTCACGGCCGCCGTCACGTCATCTCCCTGGATTAAGGCGACCACGATAGTCACGGAGGAGAACTTACTTGCAGTATTTGGGGTAACCCGGAGAAATGGGCAAAGAACAAGCACATATCTGGATAGTTTGTAACACATTTGTTTCGTGGTATCTTTTTCTGCACCCCCTCCAATTCCCCCCCGCCGTCGGTGCTGTTTTCCGTCGGGGTTGGGTTTTCGTCGCTTGGCAACGACGTTGTAAAACAAGCCACCCCCCCCGGTGTTTGCCATCGGGATTGGGTTTTCGTCGCTTGGCAAAGACGTTGTTAAACAAGCCAATTCACTTCGTGAACTCGGCAACCAGGTTACCGGT